CTCAGGTAAAGGCGCCCCCTTGTGGACTTGTCTGGGGCAGGCCTCTTCTGGTTACGTCTCCAGAGTCTCACACCTGCTATAGTTACCAGGATTTTTCTTAGGTTAGCACTTACCGAGGGCTTACAATGTACCACATGACACTGGAACTGCTTCCTAGACACAATTCCCATTCCTTCCAGGTTCCTGGGGAACAAGCCTTAGTCCCATTTTACAGAAGAAGAGGTGCCAAGTGTGACGACTTGCTCAAGTTCACACCCTCGTGGCAGAGCTCCAACAAAACCCAGCGCTCTTGATTTTTCTCCTCTCGGCTCTGAACAGAAGTCAGGACATACCCAGCTGGCAAGCGCTGATCGATCCTATCAGTTGTGAGAAATGGGCTGTGGACTCCGGAGGGGAGGCAGCTTTTCGGGATTCCCCAAAGTGGAGGCGCCTGATGCAGACCTCGGGATCCGCTGTCAGGAAGGGCCGCAGACCGGGGCCGAGCACTCCTGGCTGCCCCACCCACCATCACCTGTGCCTTCTTGGGCATCTTCCTCACCAGGTGGTGTGCGTTGCTCTCCTCCCAATCACTCTACAAGGCAGGTACCACCCCCATTTTGCAGACAGGTACCCGAAGCTCAGAATGACTCATTTGCTCAGTCAAGGTCGCACCGTTGCTGGCCTTCTAATCCCAGGTCTGGCTGACCCCAAAGCCCTTGGCTGTTTTCACTCAGCAGCATCGCCTCTCTTCCGGAAGGCGGAGCACCAAACAGGGTACACACTAGTTGCTAGGTCCTGTCTCAGGGCCCCCCTCCTGTAACTCTGGATCTGTCTCCCTGGCTGCAAAATGGAAGACGCGGGAGTAGCCAGCGGGAAAGCGCACAGGTGGCTGGGATACAGTCTGTCTGTCCGTCGCCCTCCCCGCCCCCCACTCCCCCGGGGGCTCACCATCTGCTGGCTGCTGGAAGTTGATGTAGGCATAACCCAGCGAGCGGCGGGTGGCCACGTCGCGGCACACGCGGATGGACAGGATGGGGCCAGCGGGCGAGAATTTCTCGTAGAGCATGGCCTCGGTCACGTCCGGGTGCAGGTCGCCTACGTAGAGCGAGGCGAGCGGGTAGCCCGGGCCGCTGGCGTTCATGGTGGGCGCGCGACCCCGCGCTCGGCGCCCGCGTGCGCTCACCCGGGCGGGACAAGGCAGCGGGGGCGCGCGGGGCGGCGGCGCTCTTCCCACCCACGTCCGCCCCCGGCCTTGACCGCGCCCGCTGTCCCGAACCAATCGCCAGAGCGCTCGGGTCCCGCCCCCGCAGCTGGGACCCCCGCCCCCCTCAGCTTTCTAGAAGCCCCAGGTGGGGGGCATCTCGGCCCCCGGGACGGGAAGCGAGGAGAGATCTCACCTGGCCCCGGGTAGGGCTCCGGGCTGGCGCCAGCGGCGCAGAGAGGCGGCACTCCATGGCAAGAGACCTGGGTTTTGATCCCCATCACGTCTTTGTCCTTCTTCGCCCGTCTCCCCTCGCTGTGAAATTTAGAGGATTCCCTCTTCACAAGGATGAAAGACTACCGAGTGCTCTGTGCGTTTTACACACAAACGCGAGAATTCCCTGCAGGATGCCGTTTCAAAACTTGTGGACCTACCCTCCTGAAGAGGCTTTCTGTCGTCAAGACAGCCTGGGTTTAGTCCCAGCCATCTGGAACCCTTTTGGTGATATGCTTTTGCGCCCGCACCCCATGGCACAGGATGGGGGATCCTGGTTACCCGGCCAGGGATCGAACTCATGCTGGGTGCACTGGAAGCACGCGGTGGGGTTCTTAAACCACTGGAAGGCCAGGGAAATCCCCCGGCTTGGTGATTTGGGACTGAAGGCTCCATGTGAGAATTCCGGACAGCTCTAAGGCCTTCATTGACCGGAGTTCTGCGAAGAGCCTTTCGTGGGACATTCCCTGATCATCTCTTTCAGCGAAGGCATCCCACCTGTGCTCCACACCGAAGGTTCACGAAGTCCAACCTCTGTGGAAACTGCAGGGACCTAACAGATCAAGGTCATGGTGGTGGTCTCAAACTAAGCACCAAGACCCTTCTGTCAGTCTTCGTTTGCAGCCCCAATCTGTGGTGTGGAGTCCTTTTTGAAAATATTGGTCCAACCTACCGTGAAATGATACTTCCCCTGAGCCTCTCCTGCTTCAACAAAACAGGCAGGTTCCCTCTGACCTTTGGTTGGGTGTTGACAAGTGGAACAGCTTGGGAACCAGGGGCAGGAGTGCGTCTTGGCTGCCCCACCTATGCTATCAAGCATCAACCACTTCTGTCTTGGGCTTAATTTATCTTCCCGTCTTGACCCCCTCCTTCATTCTTGTGGGAATATGGATGTTTTCATTTTTGGCTGCACCCACCCTGGCTTGCAGGATGTTAAGTTTCCTGATCAGGAAGCAAACCTAGGTGCAGTGAGTGAAAACGCCCAGTCCTAACCACTGGACTGCCAGGGAATTCCCAATGTGGATGTTCTGAGACTGGGGCAATCCCCATGAGGAAACTCAATGCTGCAGGCTCTTAGATGATGTTAGGGCAGATAACAGAGCCTGTACAACTTTGGAGATGACTAGGACTTCTGCTACCATCTCCTTTGGTTACATCTCAGGGTTTTAAAAAAAGTAAGTGGTGGTGCTGTATGAGTGGGATGCAAAGTAATAGTCCATATCACTAAGTCATTGAAGCCACAGATGAGGATCTAACACCTGGATGGTTTGTTGTGGAAGGTGGACAGGTTCTGTGTTCATTCAAGGCAATTTCTTCCCAACACAACTTCTGGCTCCTTTTGAAGACTGAAAAGTGAAAGTCACTCACTCGTGTCCAGCTCTTTGCAACCCTATGGACTATACAGTCCGTGGAATTCTCCAGGCCACAATACTGGAGTGGGTAGCCTATCCCTTCTCCAGTGGATCTTCCTGACCCAGGAATTGAACCGAGGTCTCCAGCATTGCAGGCAGATTCTTTACCAACTGGGCTATCTGGCTCAAAAGGATAAAGTGAAGCTGCTGCCTCCTTTTGAAGAGTAGAGCCCCAAGAAAGTGTGCTCAGCAGTCAGCTGGTTCTGGTGATGATACGGGGGACGCCACATATCAGTGCATCAGCCAACTAACTGATAAAATTTTTATTTCACTTTTGAGTTTTTACACTTTTCCTGATTATTCCGTGTAAGGTGGAAACTAGAACTGTTTAAAAGACATACACAAATCTAGTACATCAATAACCGGGGTTTTTTCTTTTTTGCTATACTATTTTCACAACCACGGGTGTGCTTGCTAGGCAATATAACCATCACAGAAGCAAACGTGAGGCAGAATACTGGTGAGGAAAAACAAAGCAAGAGAGCTACCAGATATACAGACAGGCTCGTTCCACATTCACTACTGCATTTTCAAGCGGCAAGTATTAACTGCACATTTTTGTTCAGCTAGAAAGGAGAGGTTTTTTTTTTTTTCTTTTTTTCCTTTTGGTTTGTTTGAAATCAGTGCATGAATGTTTCTTTTCTTATTTCAGCAGATGGACAAACAGATGGGACACTACGGCTACGTGGAATGTTCGGGGAGGAAGGTGGAGACTGAGACTGGTAGGCTGGGCTATTCCTGACTCTCCCCATCACTGTGTTCATGCAACTTCCCTGACATTTGTCTGTGAACTTGACGGGATGGGTACCCTTGGGAGAGCTGGTGACAGGTGCTAACAAGCATTATCAGGGTTGGCTGCAATATAAACAGAAACCATGGATATTTAAAAATACTTCTTGGAGTCAGATCTTGGTGTGACTGAAGAGCAACCACCATGCTGAGAACTGGAGGAAGACAGACCTGAAACGTGGGAAGCTCTTTTCAACTCTCTGAAGCAAGGCTGGCTCACCAAAGTGCTCGCCAACATCCTTCACCCCCCTGTGGACCCCCTGTCCCTGCCCATCTAGTACTAAACCATGAACAAAAGGCAAAGAGAGAGAATGCACAAAGAAAAAAATGTAAGGATGCAGAAGGACAGAAATTTAGAGAAGACTAAAGTCAACAGTCAAAAAGGACTGTGGGAAAGAATGTTTAGATTTCAAAATTTTAAAGCCCCGAGCTAGGAAGAACCCAAACACTGAGTACTTAACTCCTCAAGTGAAAGACAATCTCTGCAGAACATTATTCTTAAAGGTATTACCCAGGAAACAGATAAGGCCATTCATAAGATACACGGCTTTTTTTTTCCATCTTGAGCTCATGGTTACAGGGAAAACAGATTCCACTACCTAAGCACAAGCTGCCAATCAGCAAACATGCTGCTATATAGGGGAAGGGGCTGGAGTCACAGGTGGTCTATGAGCACTGGACCGTTGCATGCTGTCATAACCCAGTTATCTGCCGCCAGGAATGTTCATTTCTGGCTTCGAGTTTCCATGGAGGAAGACACTGTGGCCATCTGTGGTCACGAACTTTTCAGTGGCAACAAGCCCCAACATACCAAGTGTCTAAAAGCCCTGATCAGAATGGGCAGAATCACTAGAAATTACTGTAAAACTCGAATGCCAAACGAGAGGTGACCCACTCCAAGTCCCAGTGTCACAATAGAATCTATAACTTTCTGTACAACTTTACAATGGAACTGTATTTCAGGGACAACTGTTTTGAATCAAATTTAACTTTCCAAAAAGTTACACATAATTCAGGTCTATTTTTTTTCTACCAGTAAGAGTTCTGCTAAATTACAAAACCCCATAATCACAGTGTTCAGTTTTGTTTTTTTTTTAAAAATGAAACACACAGTAATCCTGTCAATGTTAATCAAAATCAAAACTTCAGAATGCCGTGGCATTTATGTGACCAATCTGAATTTTAGATACAAATACCAGCTGTTCATCCCATGGACCATTTTTGCTAGGCTGAGGCTGTGAAAAATTGAAAGTCGACGTACGTTTCTTTTTTTTTTTTTATCGCACAAAGGGATATATGTGGAGGGTACAGAGTGACACTGAAGAGATCACGAAGCACGGTAGACATTAGTTCTCTCCCTCCCCAGCATCTCCTTCGTCTCCCTGGTTTTCCGACGTCCACAGCTGCAAGAGAAAAACAGAGCTATAAACAAAGTAGGGCTCTTAGGACTTTCTCGGGGAGGTGGCCCATTCTGTATCACTTCATCTCAACTGTTTATAATTCTTCTCATATGACTGCAGACAGTGATGGCAAAGGTCCAAACTTCAGCAGGCGTTTATAACCAATTACACAAATCACACGTCCAGGGCACAAGTCCTGTCCTGAGTCTCAGGCTATGAGGCAGAGGACCAGGAACAAGCCATGAGCCCCCCCACCGGAAGCAGTCACGGGCACAAGTCCTGTCCTGAGTCTCGGGCTGTGAGGAGAGGACCAGGAACAAGCCACGAGCCCCCACAGGAGCAGTCACAGGCACAAGTCCTGTCCTGAGTCTCGGGCTGTGAGGAGAGGACCAGGAACAAGCCACGAGCCCCCACAGGAGCAGTCACGGGCACAAGTCCTGTCCTGAGTCTCGGGCTGTGAGGAGAGGACCAGGAACAAGCCACGAGCCCCCACAGGAGCAGTCACGGGCACAAGTCCTGTCCTGAGTCTCGGGCTGTGAGGAGAGGACCAGGAACAAGCCACGAGCCCCCACAGGAGCAGTCACAGGCACAAGTCCTGTCCTGAGTCTCGGGCTGTGAGGCAGAGGATCAGGAACAAGCCACGAGCCCCCGCGGGAGCAGCCACGGGCACAAGTCCTGTCCCGAGTCTCGGGCTGTGAGGCAGAGGATCAGGAACAAGCCACGAGCCCCCGCGGCAGCAGCCACGGGCACAAGTCCTGTCCCGAGTCTCGGGCTGTGAGGCAGAGGACCAGGAACAAGCCACGAGCCCCTGCGGGAGCAGGCACGGGCCGGGCGGTACTCACAGTGAGATTGTCTCTCAGCAGCTGCATGATCAGGGTGCTGTCTTTGTAGGACTCTTCATTCAGCGTGTCCAACTCAGCAATCGCCTCATCGAACGCCTGAAACAAAGAGCCTTTAGCTAAGAGGTCACAGGTTCCTTGGAACTAGTTCAGCCCCGTTTTCTTCCTGCTACCAAGTGACTTACCATTTCTCTTCCTATACAGTATTCTTGGGGAACCTAGGTTGTTGTTACCTTGCTTGCTAGTCATGTCAGTAAACATGTGATGCTGGTTTCTAAAGCATCAACCAACCATGACAAAAATTCCCAGGTAAGAACTTTACTGGACCTATCAAGTCAACAAGTATTACTCATTCTAAATGAATTCACATGATATTTGAATTACCAAAGACATTTCTAGTAATCCCTCCTCTTTTTCATTAAGCAGAAAAACAAAAGGTTTAGATACAGGAGATAAATGGAGAACAGAAGTTCACATCACTAAATCCAAACTTCAATTAAGTGATGCAACTCTGAGCATTCATTTCAGTTTTTACCAATTAAAAAAATGTTCAAGGACTGTGCATATTGAAACATGACAAAAACACGAAGAAAAGGCAGTTTTCTACCCAAAGAAGACAAGATGTAATTCAGGACACAAAGAAACAAGATCTGACTTCCTTCTCTACACCTCCTGCCATAACCTCCCGCCTCAGTACAAGGACGACAGTGTGGAACAGAGGCCTACAGCCCAGGGCGTGCCGAGAGCAACACACTCATCCTCCCTGGACTGTCTACAACCTCCACCCCAAAAGAGAAACCAAACAACTCAAATGCCAATCAGCATGAGGCACTGAGAAGACGTCAAGAAGTAACAGCTCCATAAAAGATGGAGTCAATACAGATGGTTTCTCCTACCCCCCGAAAAATCTTCACAGAAGTCCAAAACAATGAGTTACGTTCAGGTAATTTTAAAACACAAGGTTCTAGAAAGCATGAGCATTTTTACTATCAGAAACCCCAGAAGGTCTTTCTCACCGTTTTTGCCAGGCTGCAAGCCTTTTCAGGAGAGTTTAGAATCTCATAATAAAACACGGAGAAATTAAGTGCCAGGCCCAGTCGAATGGGGTGTGTAGGCTGCATTTCTTTCTTACTAATTTCAAATGCTTCTTGGTAAGCCTGCTGGGAGTTCGACACAGTGGCTGTAAGAGAGAGAAAAAAACGTGAAAGGGTGGGTCTTTCATAAGGCTGCATTGTACGCCCGATCCACTACCAAATTATTTTGCCAAGCTGGGCTGGAGCAAATGTGCCGTCAAATGTCTCTACTATCCGATCAATAACCGTCTGTTAAACATGTGCGCTAATCTGAGTACTGTATGAAATGCTCTGAGGGAAAACAAAGACAATGATGACAAAGTCTACAAAAGCAATTAGGAGATACAGGAATAACCCTGAACAAGACGGAATATGGAAAGCAATGTGCTCTAATGAAAAGATCGTGGACTTGAGAGTCAAGACGCAAAACTGGAATGAATTCCCAACTCTTAATCATGTGGTTTGGACTGAGTGAAAACCTCTCTGAGTCCTGGTGTCCTTATCAGAAAAAAAGAACAGACTCCCACCAACACTCCTAGAGTTGTGTGAGGAATAAATGAGACACACAGGAGGCAATTAATAAAGCAGAGCCACAACCACCATTACACTAAAACACGTATATGACAAAAGAAATGCATCTCTCTTTACCATGGCAGTTTTACTCTATCAACCATTTTAAAGTTTCACATCTAAGACAGTTATCAAACAATCCTTAAAATAAAGATCTTTTTAAATGCACTACTGCACCAGACTTTTAATACCCCCATACCTGTCCCTTCGGTGTATCTGTCAACCCCATGACCCTGTTCAGGGGCTTCCCAGGTGGCACTAGTGGTAAAGAACCTGCCTGCTAATTAACATAGGAGGCACAAGAGATCCAGGTTCGATCCCTGGGTCAGGAAAATCCCCTGGAGGAGGAAATGGCAACCCACTCTAGTATTCTTGCCTGAAAAATCCCATGGACAGAGGAGCCTGGCGGGCTATAGTCCATGGCGTCACAGACTCAGACACGACAGAGCAACTGAGCTCACTCACATAGCACTCGTGACTCTGTTTATCACTGGTCAGCACAGGCTGTGGCTCTTTAAATTCTGACTACAGACCAAGCAAAAACTCAACACTATTATGAAGATGGTCTCTGCTACTGGTCAAATTCCTCAAAAAAAAAAAAAAGAAGAAAGAAAAGAAAAAAAAAGTTACTTACTTTGTTTATTGTCTCCAGATGCCACCTCAGAAAGATATCTAAAATAATCGCCTTTCATTTTCAAGTAGAACACCTTACTTTCTGGCTGTGTAGCATTGGGAATAAGGTATTTATCCAACAGCTCCTAAAAAATGATCCACATTCTGTTAAGAATCTGGAAATATTACTTACAAGATGTTAAGGTTTGAGATACTACCACTTCTAAATAATTGGGGGGAGTGGGGACGTGATTGCAAAATACATGATTTTCATCCAAAGTTTTAAAATAGTTTTTAGCCCAGGTCATAACAGATGCCAGTATCCATTAAAATCCACTTTGAGAGTCCAATAAAGGGTTAAAATACAGCCATACAATGGCATGCTACACAGGCATTAAAAATGACGATGTAGAACTACACTGATAATGTGAAAAGGCTCTCCAAAAGAAGTCTAAGTGGGGAAAAAGAAAAACGGATAATAAATACCAAGTGAATCCTATTTTAATATTAAAACAGATATGTGCACATGCATATAAATACCTAAGGGAAAAATCTAGAAGGATATTTATCAAGATGTTAACAATGGTTCTCTAGGTGGTAGTATTAGAAGTGATTTTTTTATTTTCTTATTTTTAACTCTTCTGCCTTGTGCTTTAAAAAAAAAAAATCGTATTAATTATGTAATTAAAGGAAAAAAAAAACTTCCACTAGGGAAGAAAAAGGGTAATACTAGGGAGAAATTCCAAGAACTAACTTTAGAATCACTCAGACCTGGGTAAAATCCCTCCGCTGCTGCTTACCATCTGTATGACCCTGGACAAAGGACCTGATCGCCCTGATCCTGTTTCCTCAGCTACACAGGGGAAGCCTAACAGCCATCTCCTGGTGCAGTTACGAGGATAAATGAGCCAATGTTCACAGAGTGCTTAACACGCCGCCTGGCACTAGTAAGCACTCCAAAAGTAGCTAAGACTATTATTAATAATAAATTCCTTTAAACATTTATGCTTACAACAAAAGCAGTTCTGAAGGAGTCCACGCTTCGTATACAGAGCAATATTTTCGAAGAGTTGTTTTAGAATGTGGCATCCTGAAAAACTGGTTAAGAGGCAGTAAGTACCATGCTTTTCTTCACATTCTTTCAGATGCTCATAAAAGCTGGTCTACCGTTCAGGAATTAGGGAACTTTCTTGCCTTGGGAGTGCATGCCATACTTCATCTGAGTACCAGATGTACCTAACATTCAGGAATTAGCGCACCATTAACAAACCCCCAAATGACCAACAGGCAACAAATTTAGCCACGACACTCTTACACCATGAAGTCTAACAACAACAAAAAAAATTTAAACAGCAGCTTGATGCAAAAGCTTAGCAGTAAGGGGGACTGAATCAATCAAAGTGAGAGGATGCGGGGGGGCAGTAGTCGTTTTAATAATCTGTGCATCCAGACAGGGTGCGACTCCTTATGGGTTAGACAGGAGGAGTCCTGCCTGATGGCTAACAAGCTCAGTACTGGTTTTCCACAGAAAGGTGTCAAGGGCAGTAACTCGGAAACGCAGCCAGCAGGGAAGGAGGTAGATCCACAAGTATGAATTCCTTTTCCCTTCAAAGCGGCCCTCAACCATTCATTTTTACCTGATTTCACCTGGAAGAAAAAGAAAGTTCCCAGTGGGCTCAGGACATGAGGGACAGACAGTGTGATCAGGATTTGCTCGAGGGTATGAGGCTCTCCCACCCACCCCCAGGTCACGGCTCAAGGGAAAGCAGTGAAGTATCAGTGGTCCAACTTAGGTTCCTATGAAACACTGCAGCGCAGAATCCCCACACCATTTGTGATCTGCCTTTAGAATGTAGGCCCAAACTGATGGACAGGGCTAACTTACAAAAACTACCACTGTGCAGGGGCCAGGGAGCGGTGGAAAGACAGGTCAGCTTTCAGCTCCCCTCTCCCCTATTGGAGAGGGCACCGCCATCAGACTAACACAGAGAACAGCCTCTCTGTGGCTGCATCTATCGAAAATTCTGCCTCTCTGGCCTCAATTTCTAAAGAAAAGATGGAGGGATGTTGAGCAAACGTTCCCATTTTCCAGAGTTCTTTAGAAGAGAGAGGAAAACATCCCACAAGTGACGAGCAACCTCTGATCAGGTAAGGGCTGAGGGGAAAAAAAAAAATCACATCGTGTCCTTAAAACTTAGTTGCAAATGGTGTGCAGCTTCCCAGTATATTCAGACACCTTTCTCTCAAGAGCTGTTTGAGAGCTGGCACTTGTTCATGAGCTGAACACTATTAGGAGGTGCTCTTTAGAACAGGAACACGGGCCTCTTACCAGCACGTCGTTGCAGATGTCCTGCAGCTCAGCCTCGATCTTCTCGCGGTACTCTTTGCCCATCTGCTGCTTCTTCTCGTTCCGCTCAGTTTTCTGTTCGATGCTGGAGATGACACGCCAGGACGAACGGCGGGCACCGACCACATTCTTGTAGGCGACTGACAGCAGGTTTCTCTCCTCGTTGGAGAGCTCATGCCCCTGCTCCGTGACCGCCTTCATGGCCGCAGCCATGTCATCGTAGCGCTCGGCCTGCTCGGCGAGCTTGGCTTTCTGTACCAGCTCACTTTTATCCATGGTCATTCCCTAAAACGAGAGGGAGAGAGAGTGAACATCAGGCTTTGAGGCCCAGGAGGTGTATATGTGCCAATCTCCTTCCAACCCATCTGGGAGGAAACACAGCTAAATGGGAAATGTCTATTTCCAAATGCCTCCGTTAATACTGGGCAGGAGCACCCACAGGGTTAGGAACTTGGCTAAAAAGGTGTTTTTACTTTTTAGCCATTTGATCTTCCCAGAAGTCCTACAGGTAGATACATTTACAACACTCCCTTCCCCCTCCATGAGGTGAAGAAGTAGAGGTTCAGAGAAGCCAACTGCTGTGTCCAGGGCAACACAGCCAGGAGAGCAGAGAGCCAGAACTCAGAAGCACATCTGTCTCTCGAGCTGTTTTCTTCCGCTTTCCTAATCTGCCTCCTCAATGCCAGAGGTGGCTTAATTCTTTAGAGCTTATGTTAAACATACAGCCTTTTCTTCTTTCAGGAGATATCTGGTTTTCACCAAATCTGTTTTTCCCCATACTACAGGAAAAAACACCATGCGATGATTGTTTCAATCAAGCTTAAAGCAAAAGATAGGACTTTCAGTGTTATATTTGGCAGTGCCCATCAAGTGGTAGGTACCTTAAACATACGAGCCATTTTTATCGCATCTTCTGCAAAGTGCTAACTTTGGCACAAGGACACAGTGTCCACGAGAGCAGACTTGGCTCAACCTTGCACCAGCGCAGCTACTTACAAGAAACACGACCTTGGTCAAATCACTCAGCTTCTGAGAGCTTCCGTTTGCTAAGTGGAGAGGAAGAACACTGTGAACTCTCTGGGGGCCGCTGTGAGGCGCAAGTGACCTCCTCACGTGCGTGGAGGCATTGCGGAGAGCCTAGGGCAGCGGTCCCCAAACTTTCTGGCACTGGGAACTGATTTCGTGGAAGACAGTTTTTCCACCAACCGGGGGTGGGGGTGGGATGGTTTCAAGATGATTCAAGCACATTACGCTTATCGTGCACTTTATTTCTAACCTGAGGCCACTGCTGATCTGACAGGAGGTCCCAGTCCATGGCCTGGAGGTCAGGGACCCCTGGTCGAGAGCATTATACACAAATATGAGGCACTGACTCTACAAGGTACAGACTGCCTGGGTGGATTCACCAAGACGCACAGCAACAGAACTGAGAACCATAATTGAGTTTGTTTAAGAGTTTTCCTGAAACAGACAAAAATCTTGGTGATTTCAGCTTTTCATTTTCTCAAACCCTCTATACACCAATCAGTGAATACCTCTTTAAATGATTCACCTCACCTCAGTCAATTCCCAACTATACTAATCACCATTATGGGAATTCCCTGGGGGCCCAGTGGTTAGGCCTCTGCTCTCTCATTGCTAAGGGCGTGGATTTGATCCCTGCTTGGGGAACTAAGATCCCGCAAGCCTCAAGCCAAGGCCAAAAAAACAAACAAGGCAAAAATAGCCACCATTAATATAATGCAATAATTTTTGGATAACATGTAGCTAAAAAAATATTTATTAACCAATAAGAGATAAGTTTTATGTACTGTTGGTTTAAATTTCAATTGTATTCACCTATGCCACACTGTTAAAATACACTAATATCTTGAGGTGGAAAAAAATAAAATACTACTTATAGTATTTTATAACAGTAGTGGGAATACCAATATTTTTAAAACAAATGCTTTCATTACTTTATACATCATATTACAATTTAAGAGTCTGGTTTTGCCTTCACAGCCATTTCTGTATTTTCAAGAGAGAAATTCTACAGCCAAGACTCTACCACATGAAAACGTCTTATTACATGAAGGACAATTTTAAGATACACCCTAAATCTAGACAATTTAGAAAGAGTTGGTGCTCCAGTTCAGAACTGTGTTTTCTTCCCACCTCTTTTTATCTAAATCATATTAAGAGTTGTGTCCTATGTAAGGCTTGCTGACTCTAATCTTACACTCTAAGGCTCACCTTGACCTGTCTGACATCTTCACCCACATCACTAGCATGAGCCTACAGCAGAGATAACAATCCATCTGCTCACCTACATCTCCCAGCAACCCCTCTGCACTCAGGAGGGGTCATATGGTTCAATCTGTTCAGTAAGGATAAATGATGCTACTTCCAGGTGCTGAAACTGCAAAAAGCCACGTGAGGCTCTCTTGTCTTACAGCAGCCATGTCACCTAGACGATGCTATCACAAAACTGCGGTTTGTACAGTCTGAGTCCCAGAGAGACTGGGTAGTGCAGTGGACATGCAGGGTGAAAAGGAAATAAACCCTGTTGGCTGAAGCTATTTAGACACCGGGGCTGTTTGTTACGGCAACACAACTTAGTCTACTCTGATACATGTACATCACAGGTACACTAGCCATCCTCTTAAAATTACATACGTTCTCCATACATCTTTCTTGATCATGACATCTTTCTGATCAGGATACCATCTTCACCATTAGACAACCCTACTGCACGGTCTAAGAGGCAGAGGGAAGCCAACTTTTAACAAATTTTTAGAAATTTTCCAGTCTGTAGATAATTCAGAGTTAGAAGTTACTTAGTACATAAACAGCACCTGTGCAACTCTACCCAGGAACAATTCTAATTAATAACAGTCCTGGCCAAAGCCAATACAAAGTGAAGCCATCCCATGGAGTTATTACAAAAGAGTAATAGAAAATACAATTAGCACTGCTAAAGGATAATGTGAAACTCTTCAGCCTACTAGGCTAATCAATTAAGGTCCCCTCATCCCCCACTTCTTCTCTTCCCAAACATTAGAAGTTCAACCATACCTTTCCAAAGAATCCTGACTACTTACTCCCTGAGACCAAACGTACACGCCCTATTTCTCAAAACAAAATGTGGCCTTTCTGGTTTGGAGCTGACTATTTCAGGTTTCTTTGGGATCCCTGCAAGAGCTCTTAGAGATGGAGAACCATCATGATACAGTAAAACTGAATGCATGCCTTAAAAAATGTACCCATCTATTTAAAAATTTCTTACCTACAACCCCCCCAACTTACAACAAACAAAATCCATAGCTAAATGTCTGATGCCTACTGCTTACATAACTTGTGCTTATATAACAAGGATTTTGAAGCAGCTAGACCAATTTCAACAGGAAATGGGTTACACAACACCCAGCAGTTTGGAGGAAGGCAGCAGACAAGGGAGAAATGAAATTGTTCCCATTTCTACATCCTAATAAACCTCCTATCCATCATCTTTCCCTAGTCCCACTGCTTTCAGTCTTTCATTTTCTTTAACCCCCTTCATATCCACTATCAGATCCATTTTAAAACTCTGATCAAGTCACTCTCTGCTCAAAATTCTTTAAAGTTCCCAACTGCTGCCAGTAAAGTCAGACTTCCTCCCTTGTCAGTGTAGGCTTTCCAAGCTATCTTCCCAGACTTTTGCCCAAAGAGGCCTTCTACATAGTAGGTGCTTCTGTCAGAATGGTTTTCTTCCACATGCTTTTTGGTCTTTGCGAATCCAGTACTCCCTCTACCTGGAATAGCCTTTCCCATTTATTCTGCGTTTAAAATTCTTCAGAGCATGGCTCAAATGACACCCCCTCCATGAAACCTTTCTTAAGCTGCTTAACCTAAGCTGTCTAATAAGACTGCCCAGGCCACATGTTAAAATTTTACTGTTTCGGATATATGGAGTTAATTTTTTAAAATTACTAAAATGAATTTCATCTTTTCCCCTCACATTTTAAAGGTAGCTACCAGATAATTTTAAACTACATGGGACTCACATTCTATGTCTACTGGACAGCACTGCTCTAAGCTGAAGAGTTTCACAAAGCATTTCATCTACACGTCTCTCTAATGTCTTATCACGTTTCCTCAGTACTAAAATTATTTGTCTACATCCCTGAAGTCCCCTCCCACACTACAAACCCCTTTAGGGCACATCCCCTGCAGCACCTTGCAGAGAATCAGCATGAACAAATCTTCACTGAATGAATGAACAGATCCTAAAATGGCAAATCTGGTAGAGTTCTGTCTCTTCTCAAATAATTCAAATCACCTATTCTTTCTAAGCACATTAGATCCTCATTACATCCGTACCTCTCTCCATGTACTTTTTTTTTTTTTTCCTCCATGTACTTCTGATTCCAAAACTCCCCTCAGTCATGCCTGGATTCTTACTCAAGAACTTCTGATGACTCTCTTCTGGCTGCTCCATCCAACTGAAATTCTTGTCTGGCTTGCAAAGTCCTTCATAATTTGGATCCTCTGTACCTGTTTCTCATCCACTATTCTCCAACATGTACCCTTCTCCCAGGCTGAGCATCACCAGATACCCTTAGATGTCGGGCTTAAACATGTCTGAAATTACTTCTGTAGTTCCCTATTTACTTCCTGCCGAGGCAAACGCTATCCATCCATGTAGGGCTAGAAAGCCTTCCCTGACTACCCTAGTCCCCCTGACCTACCTGGACTACGAATTCAAATACACTGAAGCCTCTTACACAGTCCACGCTTTTCTAGGCCTCCGTTCTATACGTTCTACGGTACAGGTGATGAGTGGTGGATCATGTACAGCGTGTCACATGTATGTCTTCCGAAGGAAGGCTTCACGTTTCTTTCTCATCTAATGCCTAAAACTCTGCCAAGTACAAAACTAATATTCAAGTAAGTATCTGTGCATTTTTTCAGCTAGTCATTACTGGGAGGCTACTTGTACGCGGTGTGAAGAGAGGCCTCTGTGTGAGAGCAGGGGCTTCCACGTGGCCTTGTCAGTGCAGTTGCTCAGTCGTGTCCAGCTCTGTGACCCCACGCACTGCAGCACAACAGGCTTCCCTGTCCATCACCAACTCCTGGAGCTTGCTCAAACTCATGTCCGTCGAATAGGTGATGCCATCCAGCCATCTCCTTTTCTGTCGTCCCCTTCTCCCGCCTTCAATCTTTCCCAGCATTGGCGTCTTTTCCAATAAGTCTGTTCTTCACATCAGGTGGCCAAAGTACCGGAGCTTCAGCATCAGTCTTTCCAATGAATATTC